CAATTTTTCTTTTCTTATAAATAAATTACAGAATAAATCAGTACCGAAAACCAAAGACCGATCAATATTTAATTTATTCATCAAATTAACGCGGATAAATGAACGATTCGTATAAATTTTTTTTTCTTATAGAGAAATGAAAGAGTAAATCAGTACCGAAAATCGAATATCGATCAATACCGTAAATCTGTGTCAGAAAATTGTCCAAGTGCAATGACAATTTGTTCTCATTTTTCAGGTACTTACCCCTCTAATATTATTCAATAAATTAACTCGGATAAACGAATGATCCGTATCAATTTTTCTTTTCTTATAAATAAATTACAGAATAAATCAGTACCGAAAACCAAAGATCGATCAAAACCTAATTTGTTCATCAAATTAACGCGGATAAATGAACGATTCGTATGAATTTTTTTTGTCTTATAAGAAAATGAGAAAATAAATCAGTACCGAAAACCGAATATCGATTAATACCATAAATCAATGTCAGAGAATTGTCCAAGTGCAATGACAATTTGTTCTCATTTTTCAGGTACTGACCCCTCTAATTTACTCAACAAATTAACTCGGTTAAACGAATGATCCGTATCAATTTTTCTTTTTTTATAAATAAATGACAGAATAAATCAGTACCGAAAACCAAAGACCGATCAATATTTAATTTATTCATCAAATTAACGCGGATAAATGAACGATTCGTATAAATTTTTTTTTCTTATAGAGAAATGAAAGAGTAAATCAGTACCGAAAATCGAATATCGATCAATACCGTAAATCTGTGTCAGAAAATTGTCCAAGTGCAATGACAATTTGTTCTCATTTTTCAGGTACTTACCCCTCTAATATTATTCAATAAATTAACTCGGATAAACGAATGATCCGTATCAATTTTTCTTTTCTTATAAATAAATTACAGAATAAATCAGTACCGAAAACCAAAGATCGATCTAAACCTAATTTGTTCATCAAATTAACGCGGATAAATGAACGATTCGTATGAATTTTTTTTGTCTTATAAGAAAATGAGAAAATAAATTAGTACCGAAAACCGAAGACTGATCAATATCATAAATCAATGTCAAGAAAATTGTCCAAGTGCAATGACAAGTTGTTTTCATCTTGCAGGTACTTACCCCACTAATTTACTCAAAAAATTAAGTCGGATAAAAGAAAGATTCGTATCAATTTTTATTCTCTTATAAAGAAATTAGAGAATTAGTCAGTACCGAAAATTGAAACCGATCAATATTTAATTTATTCGTCAAATTAACGCGGATAAATGGACGATTCGTATGAATTATTTTTTTCTTAGAGAAATGAAAGAGTAAATCAGTACCGAAAATCGAATATCGATCAATACCGTAAATCAGTGTCAGAAAATTGTCCAAGTGCAATGACAATTTGTTCTCATTTTTCAGGAATTTATCCTTCTAATTTACTCAACAAATTAACTCGAATAAACGAATGATTCATATCAATTTTTCTTATCTTATAAAGAAATGAGAGAATAAATTAGTACCGAAAATTGAAAATCGATCAATATTTAATTTATATATCAAATTAACGCGGACAAATGAACAATTCGTCTGAATTTTTTCTATTCTTATAGAAAAATGAAAGGAGAAATCAATACCGAAAATCGAATACCGATCAATATCGAATTTATTCATCAAATTAACGTGGATAAACGAACGATTTGTATCAATCTTTTTTTCCTTTATAGAGAAATAAAAGAGTAAATCAGTACCGAAAGTCGAATGTCGATCAATATCAGAAATCAGTGTCAGAAGATTGTCCAAGTGCAATGACAATTCGTTCTCATTCCCGAGTCTTTCCCGAGTCGAAATATTAATTCTACATTGATCCTGCAAATTGCATCCAATTTGAAAAATCAATGCAGAATATTTAGATGCGCAATAGTGAACAAGCTTTCTCCTACCTGAACGTTACATCTGGCTACTCTCGTAGTTTCGCCCATGATGAGTCTTCGACAGCGACGTATTCCGCAGTTATTTAATACTCGTTTACTTCGATAATGTATATGTACTTAATCCTTATATTCTTAATTTAAATGAGCAATTTTTATTGATTTTGATTATATATTCGCTTAACAGCGCAAGAAAGATAAAAACGTACAACAAACAAAGATAAAAACGTAAATAGAACTGCCTTTGTTAGAACTGCGCGTGAGATAAATATATAAGGATTAAATAAGCATATAAGAATTAGAGGAAATGGGAGATGAAAAATACTTTTTATTCTCATCATTCTTAAAGTTTTTTTTTCCTTTCTTCTTCTCTTTTTTTTCTTTTCTTTTTTCTAATGAGAATGATGAGAATTGTAGCTCTTAAAAGAGCTGAAGCTGCAAAAAGACAACGGTTATGTCTAATAATGCTGTTTCACTAATAGAGATTTTAATTCTGATTCGGTACAATAAGAAAGATAAAGAAGAATGAGAAACGGACATTCTAGCAGATTCTAAACGAAAACAGCAATCTGAGCATTATTAGACGAATAAAAATCAACACTTGTAAAATTTATATCAGATTCTGAGATCATTATTCATAGTTTTTTTAAATTATGTGCAATTTTTCATTGAGAACAATTACAAATTTGTATTGATAAACCTTAGCTTGCCTCAGCAACCTTGCTTGAATGGACATTCATATTTTATGAGAAAAGAAAAGTACAACTCATGTTACGTGAAATTAGGTTAATGAATAATCAAATCTCAAGCTATTTTATCATTTTTCAGATGATAAACTATGAATGCTGATCTTATTTCGACTCGGGTATGTCCTTACTTCGAGTAAGGTCCGTTAAAATCAGAAAAATAATAATGCGTAATAATAATAACTCGAGGTACCTCGAATACCATACATGTATCGCTGTCCTCGGCTACGTCTCTCGGCGCGCTCCAAGTCCTCTCTCCATCCTGACTTCTCGATCCGACGTCCTCCATCTGGTTCTGGTCCTCCGTCGCAGCACTCCCAGATACTCCATCGTAGCACTGGCGACGACACTGACTCTAGCTCTAACACTCGCGCAAGTAAGATTCGGGGACAAAGAAACGCGTATTAACCGATACTCGTATTACTCTGCGTCGCGGTATGCGCGTCGTTCGTCGGCCCGAGGCGCAATGTCCTTTCCGCAATCACGGAGTCATTTATAAGCGTACGAAACCAAACAATCGGGAAGGCACGGTTACCCCCCACCTTGCCGATCAGTGTTGATGCCTGCGTCGTCCGTTAGCTGAAAATGAAAACAACTCGTGTTTTCAAAGCATGCCTGTGAGAGACTCGCTTCAAACTTCACAATACTTATTTACGTCTGTTCCAAGAATCATATTACGTCGAATTCAAACTGTCTCTATTTTGACATAACATACACGAGATCTGCGATCGCATCATTGATCTTTCTTTGGACAAGAAAATCCTGAGAGGAATGCTATTCGAGAATATCATATTTTATGTTTCAGGTGCCTTGCAAATTATCGAATTCGATGTAACAGATCAGGGAAAGTATGAATGCGTAGCTATGAATAACACGCGTGAGCACGGAGTACTCCAAGTCAATCACGTTATACGTGAAACGTATATTTAATATTATATAAAACTTACCTTTTTAAACAAAAAGGTAATAAAAAGGCGTCGAGTACAAGCGCAACACGTATTGTGTTATTTTTAGAAGTATCAAACTCAAATTATTTTTTTTATTGTATATATGTGTACATAAGTTTTTACAAGTAAAACTTATAACTATAATAAAACTCTGCAACACTTTTCTACTGTACAATAATAAAATGTTCTTGTAAATTCTCTTTATACATATACGGTATAACGTTTTATTTAAGTTTATATAGTATTATAATAAATAAATTATAAACCTTCATTATAGAATATATTATAATCAAAATGCTGTCATATATGTATTAATCAAGTTTTAGTTCGATATAGTTTTTTAAAGTCAAATTAGATATCATTGACATTTCGTCAATTATAATAAGAATAACATTTTTGAATAAAGAAATATCAAAATATGTAGAATATATACACATTCGATATGTATATTCTATAGTGAAGGTTTATAATTTATTATAATACTATTAACTATTACTATTTATTAATACTATTATAATATATAAACTTAAATAAAACATTATACCGTATATATATAGAGAGAATTTACAAGTACATTTTATTATAATAAAAATGCTGTCATATATGTATTAAACAAGTTTTAGTTGTTATGTTAGGTTTCTCAGTTGGTGCTACTGTTCTAATATATCACTTCTCTTGTACAGTAGAAAAGTGTTGCAGAGTTTTATTATAGTTATGTTTTACTTGTAAAAACTTATGTACATATATATACAATAAAAAAAATAATTTGAGTATCTATGTCGGCGCGCTTTTACTTCTCAGATTTCTGTCATTAATAACTCGATAATTATTACGAATCTCACAAAATGGTATGGGACTTTTATGTTTTTCTCAACCCAATCTACCCTCACACTTCGGGTTGGCAGCTAATTACCGGACACTTCGTATGATCTTCATGATATTAATCATACACAATGTCAATTCTTTTTTTCTTGCACATGTTAACATGTTAATTCATGTTATAAACGCGTAACAGTGTGCGAGACCGTGCTTGTCAAGTACGCTATTATGGTTGTAGCACGGACATAAACCGCCTAAATATGGATGTTGCACGGACTGCCACCACATACAGGTTTTACCGTCGAAACCTGAAAGTGGATGTAGTATCGTAGTTCCCCTCTCAAAATGGATGCAGATGGCGCCCTTTCCTAGTGCGTAAAGTCGGTGTCGCAGAAAATGTCGTATTGGCCGCTCTCAGGTTACTCTCTGCTCTTACAGCTATTGTAGACGAGCCTTTACTGTTACAGCTATTGTAGACGAGCCTTAAAACAAATATATATATGACTGCGTTCCGTTTCACGCAATATGCGCGCATTTTCTACAGTATACGTAATATGAACTATATATAAATGCGCGCATACGCGTGAAACGGAACGCGGCCTTCGTCTCACTCTACTTATTGCAGCAGTGCAGCGAAAAAGAATAGTTGTGTAGCAACGCTGATTAAAACGCTTGAGAACACGATTGTGCAAGTTTGGACACAGTTACGATGTCGAAAAAGGCGAGAGTTTTTGATATTCAGGAGATGATGCAGAATATTAGACAAACTCTCGAGAACAACAAAGCAGCAGCTCTCCAACAAGGGAAATCTGCAGACGAAACTGCGGAATCCAAAAAGGATGAGAGCAAAGAGAATGACGACGAAAATGACCTGATCGGTCCACCGATACCACTTTCGCTGTCTCCCGATTCAAGGACGAAAACTTCAGACACAAGTGAGGAAGAGAAAAGAAACGATAGCGAAGACGATGAGGATGAAGAATCGTCCGACGATGAATCGCCTAACAAAATACCATGCACTCACGAAGTGATAATGACGCATGGCACAAAAGCTGTTACTGCCATCGCCGCGGATCCCTCTGGCGCTCGATTAGCCTCAGGATCCGTTGACTACGATGTATGTTTCTGGGACTTTGCAGGTATGGACTCGTCCATGAGGAGTTTCAGAACCTTGCAACCATGTGAAAATCATCCTATTAAATGCCTACAGTATTCAACCACAGGCGACATGATATTAGTGGTATCGGGAGCAGCACAGGCCAAGGTTCTGGACCGGGATGGTTTCGAAAAGTGTGAGACAGTAAAAGGTGATCAGTATCTTATAGACATGTCGCGTACCAAAGGTCATACTGCCAGTCTGAACAGTGGCAGTTGGCATCCATTCTCGAAAGAACAGTATCTCACTTGCTCTCAGGATAGTACATGTCGGATATGGGATCTGAACAGTCCACGCTGTCATAAGAGTTTGATAAGATGCAGGGCACAGAATGGTGTAAAGACTATACCGACCACTTGTACATATAGTCGAGATGGTACTGTGATTGCATGTGGATGCATAGATGGATCAATTCAAATGTGGGATCAGCGAAAGAATTTTGTGACTCCTTTGGTTTCACGTGGTGCACACACACAGCACACTGAGATATCAAGCCTAAGTTTTTCCTACACCAAACAGATGCTGGCTAGTAGAGCTTGTGATGACACTTTAAAATTATGGGACTTGCGGATGTTCAAATCACCAATCTTTGTGGCAAAAGATTTGTTCTCACGTTACAACACAACTGACTGTATGTTTAGTCCAGACGACACGATGGTGGTTACAGGACAGTCCTTGAATAAAGGTGCACAGAATGGCAAGATGTTGTTTTACAATAGCACAACATTTGATGTAGTCAATCAGATCTCTGTAACGAATTCACATGTGATCAAGACTCTGTGGCATCCAAAATTAAATCAAGTATTTGTTGGCTGTGGCAATGGTATTGTAAAGGTGTACTACGATCCTAAAAAGAGCATGAGAGGCGCCAAGCTGTGTGTTGTTAAAACACATACCAAGCAGAAACATATTGAAATAATGTCTACGCAGCAAATTATAACACCTCACGCGCTTCCTCTATTTCGTCAGGACAGACCCAAGTCGGTTCGTAAGCAAATGGAGAAAGACAGATTGGATCCTGTTAAATCAAGACGTCCTGATCTGCCTATTACTTCTGGTCAAGGTGGTAGAGTAGCATCATCAGGAGGAACGCTCAGTTCCTATGTCATCCGAAATCTTGGCCTAAGCAAGAGAATAGAGGATGATCAAGATCCTAGAGAAGCTATTCTTAAGTATGCTAAGATAGCAGAAGAGAAGCCATATTGGATTGCACCAGCATACAAGAGGACGCAACCAAGGACTATCTTTCAAACTGATGATCAGGACGGCGGCCCGAGCAACAAAAGACAGAAACAATAAACTTATATTTATTTTGTACAGACCACTTTAACTTATGTTTTATTATTTAATATATATTTAATGTATATTATTACTTAAAGTAATTTTGTTATAATGTAAAATGTAATGTTAATTTTTTTGTATTCGGTGCAGTAAAATTATATGATATTCGAATAGCTCCTGTAAAAAAGTATATGTTGCAAATATAAATACCTAAATCACCTTAAGTGTGCAATAAAGTATTAATTTTATAAATAATTTTTGTACAGTCGATACTGATTTGACACAAGATTTACTGACAGTAGGTTATTAAATAAAGAAGTTCTGTAACGCCAATGGTCGTTAGTATCATCTTGTCTCTGCAGGAAACCCTTCTAGAAATTTGTTATATAAAGCCAACCTCTCTACTTCTATCTCTATCTAAACAACCGTCATAAGAAATATATCTTATGAATTATACGTAGTATAAAAGTGAGCAATTTGGATAAGTGTTCCATCGAAATTATTGAGAGCAAGCATTTTTAAGTTATTTTCAATTATAAATAAGAATAACATCGATTCTCGAGAAGTTACTTTATCAACTTACGTATAAGTCAAATTACTTTGAACATGTCTGAGTTGATACAAACAAATAGTTCTAAAAGTTCTTTATTTCCTACATCTGCTATTCTCGATCAGGATACGAGCAATGTGAGCAAAGGTAAACATTATTTCCTCATTATTTTGTTTCACAGTATAAGCTGTCTACCTACGTGAAAAAAATGTCACATGACTAAATCTAAGATGTTTTAATTTTTATAACTTTGTGTATACTTTCCTTGATAATTAAGTGATGATACCTAAAGAAATTTCAGTAAGTCTTCAGGATTCTCTGTGAAGAAATTCCAAAAGATTATATGAAAAATAGAATAGTTTTAGAACTGAGAATAGTTTCTTTTTTATGATATTTATGAATATATTTAACTTGTAAAATATTTTGATTATAAATATATTTTGCATATGCTCAAATTTCTTCTTTCTACAGAAGATGAAAACCAAAGTCCTTGGTGGGAAATATTTAACAAATCGAAGAATAATAGCAATATCAAGGAATCAAGGAATATAGCTTTGAATCTTTCTGACATGACAATTGCTGATTCAACCAACATAACAGGAAATATGAGTGCAAGTATGATCAAAATTAAATAGAAGTAAATTTATATAGCATGAACACATAAAGAATGTACTTTGAATTTTTAGATATTTTGTATATGTATACATATTTTTTTGTTTTAATGTTGTGACAGATATTGTGAAAACTAACATTTTGGAGACAACATCTGAGTCTGAGAAAACGGCTTATATAAAAAAGAAAAAAGCTCCTTTGAAATTAGCAAATAGAAAGAGCAGAAATAACAATTTCTTAAGTGCACTAAATACTACAGAAGAAAATACTTTATTGCAAGGATTAGATAAAGAGACTCATACATCCGATGGTTTGAACAATCCTCACTGTAAAAAAATCTCATCAAAGAAGTTAGAAGAAGGAAAGGAAGATGACGAAGATTTAAGACTAGATAATATTCCTTTGGCACAAAGAAGTTTGGACAATCTTGTCCATAGAAAAATTATATCAAGGAAGTTACAAGAACGAAAGAAAGATAGCGAAGATTCAATAGATGATATTCCTTTGAAACAAAGAGTAAAGATTTCAAGAAGAAAAATGTCTAGAGAAACAAGTAATATCTTTCAGAATAAGTTAACAGAGGAAACACATATTTTCGACAATAATGAATCATTGCATGAATTTGTAAAACATCCAATTGCGAAAAGTAAAAATTCAAATAAAAGCCATACTGATGATTTAAATTCATCAATTTCTCGGAGAAGTTTATCAAAAGCTCAACGTTCAATTTTGATACCGCAACATGTATATAGAGGATTTAATATTTAATATGTACTTTTATTTTTCCTGCCCCCCCCCCGCTCTTTTTAGACCTTCCGGCATAAGGCCTATTCGTTTTGTCTGCACTGCTGAATTAGTGCATTAAGTTAAAGTGAAACAAACGTAGATTTTCTTACTTCAACTTGTTGCACCAGTTCAACAGTGCAGACAAAACGAACAGGCCTATTGTCTGGCATAGAGATAGTAAAGCCAGCGGCACACTGTGCTTGTGTCGTGCTGGATTGCTTGCTGGATGAAAATACTGCGTTCTGATTGGTTCATTTCCATCCATCTTCGGAAATGTACCAATCAAAACGCAGTATTTTCATCCAGCAAGCAATCCAGCACGAAAACAAGCACCGTGTGCCGCTGGCTTAACTATGGTTGCAGCATGGACATAAACCGCCTGAAAGTGGATGTAGCACGGACTTCCACCACATTTCTCGTGCGAAAAATCGGTGTCGCCGAAAACGCCGTGTTGGCCGCTCTCAGCTTCCTCTCTGCACATACTGTTAGGTCAAAAATTATTTTTGTTTTTTGCAATTTTTTGTACTACAGTCGGCATTGTAATTGTTTTTCATCTGAAAATTCTCATTGGTATTTTGGAATGTGTTTAAAGTATGACTTGATACTTCTGATTACATCTAAAACTATATTTTGATTACTCTGTTCACTAACCCACTAAATCATAATACTACACGTACGTAGATCACGTACACCAACAGATTGGCTGCGTTCAGTAGAACAAAATGATCAGTGAGCGCTTAGTGATTATTGTCTATGATTGGAGCATTCTTTTAGATTCTTCATAGACCCAGAAGTATTTACTAATCAGGAGCGAGAATCACTAAGCGCTCACCGATCACATTTGGTCTGTTCTTTTCAGCTGCACTATGGAACTAGTGCAATAAGTTAGAATGAGACAACTATATTTTTTCTCACTTTAACTTATTGCACCAGTTCAGTAGTGCAGTCTCTGGCTCCAAAATGGCGACCGTGAGATGATTTAAGCCCCTTGCACAATGCCAGGCAACAGGCAATAAAAATAAAAGTAGACCAATCACAATAGATTATTCTAAAAGTCGATTGTGATTGGTCTATTTTTATTCTTATTGCCTATTGCCTGGTATTGTGCAAGGGGCTTTAAGTTTATTCTGTTCTTTTATTTTCGTACATGTAGTGGCCATGCTCATCACGGTCTATTCATATAGGTACATGTTGCTGGGTATTTTAGCGGCGTGGTGTGAATAAAATAATTTGTACACTTTTTATAATAAAATAAATTCATACTCAATATTTATTTTTAATAATGTAATTTGAATTTGTGCAACTCAAATCGACGTTTGTATGATATTTCATTCAAGTTTAATATAAAATTGACAATATCATCTCCGACTTTACGTGAAGGTTAGAATTTATTAATTTTGTGTGTATTGCTTTATATATTGTAAATTATGATTTACGATATTTTTATATGAAAAACTTGAATTGTAGGCTAAATAATTACTTAAGTACACATAGAAATAAAATGTTACTAATGATTATAGATTATTAACATTAATAAGAATGTAACTTCAATATGTTCGTAGATTAGATGGGTCGTAAAGCAAAATTTGATGGAACCCAGGTTCCAAAGGGGCCTGGTAGAAAAGCAAGAAAGCAAAGTGATCCAACTTTTCCAAAAGGAGTTTTAGGTATAAGAAAATATCAGTAATTTTTTGTAGACTAATTTAAAAAAAAATTTTGTCTAATATAATGAAACATGAATTTATTATATTGCAGTCAAGGAAGCTACTAAATTGAGTCATCGACAGAAGCAAAGGATAAAGAAGAGATTACAGAAAAATCAACAGCTTAAGGAAAATGCAAAAAAGTTGCTCAAGAAGAAAATTATTCCTGAAGAAGAACAAATACAATTAAAAAATGTATGTTTTTTGCACAATAAATTATATAAATTTTTATAAAATAATTATATCTAATTTTAGGGAAAAGATATATCTAAACTGAAGGATGTGTCAAAACTGAATAAGAAGGAAAAGAAGATTAAACCTAAATCTACTGTTAACGATAATAATTACAGCAAAGATGACAATATGAAGATTCTTTCTGATTCACAGATTTCTAAATCAAAAGATAAAGTAAGAGAAAAACAGAAGAAAGGAAAAATTACTACTGGTAATTTAGAAAGTGCTAGTAATGACATGAAAATTCGCTCTGATAATCAAATTTCCAAGCCAAAAAATAAAGTAAAAGAAAGTAAAAAGAAAATGAAGATAAAAGAAAAAATTGTATCTAATAGTTTAGACATTGATAATGATGACAATATGAAAATTTACTCTGAAAATTATGCTTCCAAACCAGTAAGTAAAGCTAAAGGAAATAAAAAGAAAAAGATGAAACAAAAAATTGTAACTAATAATTTAGAAAGTAATGACAATATGGAGATTCATTCTGTTAATCAGGTTTCCAAGCCAGGAAATAAAATAAATGAAAATAAAAAGAAAAAAAGGAAACGAAAGAGTATAACTAATAACACAGAAATTGATAATGATAATGATATAGTTTCCAACAGTAATAGTAAAGCTTTGGAAAATGAGCAAATGGAACAAGATGAGGAAGAAGAAGATATGAGTTATGATGCTAATCAGTTACTTTCTATAACAAACTCGAAGAAGAAGTTAAAGAAAGCTAAACAGAAATTTGTAAGCAGTAATGCAGAAAATGATAGTGATGCAGAAAGTGAAATGGAATCCAGTGATGAGGAAAACTCTTCTGATGAAGATATGGAACAAGATGAGAATAAAAATGATAAAAGTGATGACGATTTACTTCCCATAGAGAAAGATAATAAAAAACTGATTAAAAGAAAAAAGAAGGAAGAGTGAGTAACATTTCAATCATTATTTGTAATATTAACTATTTATTTTTTATTTTAAATTATTTTTATCTCTTTTATTTCCTCTGCTACAAACAGAAAACTTGCGCAGGAAGAAATGATCAATATGATGTCTCAGCAAAGTGTATTCTCTTTTCCAACTGAAGAAGAACTTGCCAACGTCACCAATCTAAAAGATATCCAACAACGAATACGAGACGTTATTATGGTACTGTCAGATTTCAAGAGATTACGTGATGGAAATAGATCGCGTTCTGAATATATCACATTACTGCAAAAAGACTTGTGTACATATTATAGTTATAATGATTTTCTGATGCTGAAATTAATACAAATGTTCTCATTGGATGAGTTATTAGAATATTTAGAAGCTAGCGAAGTACAGAGACCTATGACTATTCGCACCAATACTCTGAGAACACGACGACGCGATTTAGCAGAGGTATATCAAGGAGGTTTTTCATTTTATACATTGCATCAAGCAGATTTTTACGCTTAAAATAAGTAATATCTAATAATGCAATATTAAATTGCAGGCTTTAATCAATAGGGGAGTTAATCTCGATCCACTAGGAAAATGGACAAAGGTCGGTTTGGTAGTGTATTCCTCGCAAGTGCCTATGGGTGCAACACCCGAGTATCTGGCTGGACACTACATCATACAAGGTGCATCTAGCTTTTTGCCTGTTGAAGCGTTAAACCCGAAAGAGAACGAAAGAATTCTAGATATGTGTGCCGCGCCAGGTGGCAAAGCCTCGCACATCGCCGCTCTCATGAAGAACACCGGGGTATTGTTCGCGAATGACGTAAATCAGGATCGACTGAAGGCCGTTGTTGGCAATTTTCATAGACTCGGTATCGTCAACTCCGTAGTCTGCAGTTATGACGGGAGAAAATTCCCCACGGTAAAAAGACTTGATCCATTTCTTAAAAACGACTAACACGATCAAGATTGTTTTCTTACAACTTACAATTATGACGGCAATTTTCAGATTATGAAAGGATTCGACAGGGTTCTGCTGGACGCTCCATGCACAGGCACAGGAGTAGTGGCAAAAGATCCTAGCGTGAAGACCAACAAGGATGAAGTGGATATTCAGCGTTGTTGCACATTGCAGAGAGAATTATTGTTGGCCGCGATAGATTGTGTTAATGCACGTTCGGAAACCGGCAGTATTATTGTTTACTCTACTTGCTCCATTCTTCCGGAAGAGAACGAGTGGATTATTGATTATGCGCTTAAAAAGCGCGATGTTAAGTTACTGCCCACCGACTTGGAGTTCGGGACCGATGGTTTCACGAGTTACCGGCAACACCGATTTCATCCTTCATTGAAGTTAACTAAACGATTTTATCCACATGTACATAATATGGACGGTTTTTTCGTAGCAAAATTAAAAAAGTTCTCCAACATTATTCCTAATCAGAAAAATATAAACCAAGAAACGTCTGATTAAAATTTTTAATAGACTTTTATAGTTTTGTCTTACAATAAAATGACTTATGATATATTGTCATCCCTTGAGACAACTATTCCATAAAATAATTGTCTTATTTACAGGTCGCTCATACAATACTACGTCAGATTTTAGGCAGCAAATGCCTAAAAGTATTTCTACACATAGTATATAATATTCTTAAAATGTATCCCTCTAGAGCATTCATATTTTTTTATATCACATATGTATAAATTGTATAACTTTCTGTAATTATAAGAACTTGTTCCAATTATATGCTTATTTTAATCAGACATGAATCAGATGAAATTAAATTAGATCTGACCAATCCAATATTATGATTGAAGCATATACAACTAGGATTCATTCAAGTATACCTATTATGTCACAGAATGTATATTGCTCGTTAATAATCGGCGGGATGGAACAAAATTCTGTTAAATCGTAAGAAAAAAACATTTATCATAAAAATAACAATTCGATGTTTCATACTTCGCTAATACACTCGTCAATGGAAAAAGATACTTTTCAATTGTTTTTCACAGAGCCTTTTCACTTCGTCTGGAATATATATCGAAATTTTAATGCAAACATCTCGGTCTAATCGTATTGTTGCAGAACATATATACATACCATCGATTTCTATGATACTTGCACTTTTCTGTTGTATAACAACGAAAAATTCTCTCAAATTGGACAATTTTGCAATAATCCAATAATCACTCATAGTTTTTATAATTATTTCACCAGCCTCCTTTAATCTGAGAATTAAAAAATCGATTAATATATATTTCTTAGATGCATACACGTGTATTTAAAATTTATTCAATTATATGAATTCCGAGAATATATATACCTGTTTGTATCATTGTATATGTCGGTGATAATCCTCAGCACTTCTGGTGTCGTAAGTACATTAGAGCAACGTCGGTTATCTAGATGTATTGTACTTTTATACGCTAAATTTAGTTTGTTGAAATACAGGTACTTGGTGCTACAAGATTCCGGCATAACGACTACGTGTTTAGCACATTGCTCGGCTACCGAACTGACTAATGTGGTTAATTGCGGGCCCAAAAAGCTGTCTAAGCTTTTAAAAAAGTCTATTAATAAACTAGTTTTCCCTGGGAAAAAGGGAAATATTATATTGTAAAATGTTACAAACATACGTTGGTAAGATTTGTTGATAAAATTAAAAAAAAAAAAGATATTAAGAGTCTCACTTACTATCAACGAAAAGACATATAGTAGCACTCAGTGCTCGATATACCACTAAATATAACGATATAGGTTTGGTGGAATAATTGATGAAAACTTTGGGTGATTTGCCAATTAGACTCGGTTCGTTGACACTCGCAGGTCCAGTGACAAATCTATGTAAATGGAAATGTTCTTCTTTACAAATGTACAATAATTATGCAGTATATTTGAATTAGAACATTAGAAATGTATTTTTTCTTACTTTCCATAGTGTGAAGTTGTAAATGGTGAAGGGGAATTCCTGGGCATTGAACCTCCATGCAATTCCTTTTCCAAATGAGCTGGTAAAATAGTATTTACCAAATAATTATATATCACTTGCATATCTTCAGGTTCTAATCCACTCCTAAATGTGTACAATTATCTTATGTAAAAATTTGTGTATACAACCAAGGATAGAGGCAACAAATATGTAACTTACCAAACAACTTGATCATTATAAAGAAACGCTGTGTATTTTACTTGTGTAAACATAGCTTCTACAAGATTCATAAAACACTGCACTCTAAGAAACGTGATCTTATCAAGAGGTAAAAATTGTAAACCTTGAAAAACATCTAATATATCACTATTACTTAATTTTAATGAGTGCAAGTACTGAAACAAGTAAAGTTTAGTAAGAATATATATTCAGTTCCATATATAGACTAATATACACAGTTTATAATTGAAATATATTTTTTTACTCGTGAATAAAAATGTTCCAGTTTGAGTTTCAATAACATCACAGATCCACAATCAGGGTCATTAATAATAGTTTCAAAGGAACCCATAAATAACCTGAACATCATGTATGTTTGTTTTAATATAGCTTGGCAAACGCTACTAGATACTTCCTCATTTTGATACTTATTACCATCTCGTTCTTTATAGATATATGGAATACCAACAATCTGTGAAATGTTGATATAGTACATATTAAGCTAAGAAAAACAATGATTTTCATTATTTTATTATTTAACTAGACTTACCATTACCATCCAAAAGTTAGGTTCTGGTTGATAATATATTTGACGCGTTTTATGTGTATGGCAATAATCACAAGGTTGTCCAGGGTTAAAAGATCTATAATATGATAAGAAAGTTGTTTTGTTTTATCAACCATTCTTACAGAGCTACAAAAAGGTGTAATTATAATGCATACTCTGTAAATTTTATTATTGCTTCACTAAGTCCTATGTTCTTGATTTGAACTTCCACATCTTTCTCAGGATAGTAATATAATATTTTATTTTGCTCCTGAAAATTTCACATTTTATACAATTATATATTCAAATTGGAAGAAAATAAAAGATGAAAATATACTTTTGCATCTAATACTGTGCGTACTTACTTCCCCTTCTTTTTTTGCGTATGTGCCATTGAAAATATAAAAATGCTCTAACGTGATTTCAAACTTCGAAGTCATATTATTGACTTAATATAAATAATAAAAATCGACTACAGTAAATATTACAAGGATTTAGATTTCATCGGAACATGTCAACTTGTGACAGTAGATTAACCTGTATCAGATAGATTAGACAGATAATTATTTTGACTCCAAGAGACAAGTGTCACTAACGAAATAAAAGGCTTGTTTTCTTTATCAAGAGTCTGAACTTACACTGATATAAAAATGTACGAGATATAAAATGCACGATAGAATGTTTTTTTTTGTTTTTAATAGAAGTAACAGTAACAATCACTGTTCTTTTCCAAAGTGAAGCGGTAGTCGACGTAACAGCTGATTGTACTTTCTGTTCTAGATATTGAACGAGTGCAGAGACTACCAGTATGTACCTGCAGAATTTCAATTTATAGTCTGAAAATAGATTATTTAGAAACCCAGAATTAAAAGATATAATTTTATAGAATGATAAAAATACAAGATGATTGAGTAAAACAATATGTTTGAATATTAGTCAAATATCTTTCAATGTAAATTTATCATCTGAAGATGTGTAGCAGTCGGTAAGCTTATTACCATTTGCGTAAGGTCTGGTCTCTAGATGTTCATCCAGCTTGAGGACAATATTAGGTTAGGTTCAATTTAGTTGCAGTGATTGGAGTAATATCACGATAACGTTGGATATTTTTTCTGTGTTTTACAGCAACAATTATTGACATAAAAAAGATGGAATCGGACGAGATCGAGATAGCTTCGAAATCAGGAACGAATATTCGGAGTGAGAAGACCGCCGTTATTGACTACGACGAAGACAGAGTAAGGTTAGAACTAATAGGTTTTTGTGTTGAACTTCCACTATTTAAAAAAAAAAATCTTTTAGAAAACTATATTCTTCTGTAATTTTTTATTAATTCTACAATTTTTTATTAATTAAATTTGATATATTTGATATATTTGATATTTTAATATATTTTAAATATAACAATATAAGACTAACTTGAATAGTTTTAATATTTATATTATTGATATAATGGATACTGATATATTTTATGGATGTCCAACACTATTTGCACTTTATTTTTGTTAAATTTATTATATGTTTTGTTGCATATACGCTAAAGTATTGTACAATTTGTTTCATGGTTCTATCATTTTAGCTCCATGAGATGACAGCATCATATTCTGAAATATCGTTTGATTCACAATCCTCACCACCTATCTCGGAATTAAGGTCACTTATTGACTCGCCTGATATTGACAGTGGAAAGTATCTGGATGATAACTTAGATAAGATAGGTGGAACTGGACACAGGCCAGATCAATTAAATTTAAGAAGCAGAGGTGGCAGCCCAACAGAGGATGATGACCTAGATCCACCGAGTTATCACAAAGCTATTGGTTACTTACAATTGGAAGGCAGAGTAATGCAGGATGGAGATATGGTATTGTTTGTAACAGAAGATCTGGAGAATAAGATTAAGTTGTCCAGTCCTGTAACCAAGAAGGGTGATACTCCATCGTTTCCGGGATCTCGAAGTTCGACCCCGTGTTTGTATAGGCAGGCCTTGACTCCTCAGTTACCACCTCTTGACCACAATGTGTTGAATGAACTGGAAATGGAAGCCAGAAAGGTGGCAACATCTGTGGATGCATTGACCGAGAACTTGGCTGCAATTTTACAAAATGTAAGTTACCAATTTGAAGTTTGTCACACAACTCTTACACAGTCATATCATTTGAAGATCACATATTATTTTTTATAGGCATCGGCTCTCACAGTTGGCTGCTTAGAGACATACAGAGATGCAGTTTGCAAGACATGCGACGCTGTGGATCATAATATTAAATCGATGTATCAGTTGATGGCCAAGTGTGAAGAGTTGTCCAAGTCGATGGGATCAATTTACAAGTTAGCAGAGCAGATGTAAGTATATCGCAGCAGGTGTCTTCTCTTTAATCAAATCACTATATGCGAAAAATTATGGTATCTACAGTAAGAAGAACTTGGACCGTTATAAACTATTAGCATTTTTATTAAATTCCCCATGGAGGCGGCGTGATCCTTGTTTACGAAGTCAATCAAAAGTACCTAACTATAAATTACGATCTTAGTGCGAGAAGAAAAATTTCACTTTAATCAAGCGCTGACAGCGCGTCGGCGCAAGAACGAAAAGGAGAACACAAGGAACGAGAAGCTTGGGTGAAAGAAAAAGAAAGAAGATCTCTGTCCTTCCAGGGAAGATGGGAACGTATATATTTATTAAAAGTTCCTTGCACACGTCTCAGTAAACTATTAGCCGTTGCTGGTGTTCGTGCGCCGGAACAGTGCATCGAATTTTTAATTTGAGACTCTACCCGGTGTCTTCAGCAGACGGTAGAGGAAAGAAAAACGAACTTCTTCTCGGCGCGGCGCCTCATTCTCCGCGCGCCTCTCTCGATTCGCTCTTCGTTATGAGAATTAATGACGAGCTCAACGAAGAGAACGATCTCTTCGTGTTCATGGAGCTCCTGTCGCGAGATCCTTAACTCGCGTCAAGCACGGATGGAGAGCGAGCCACTGCTCCAAACCAACGAAAGAAAACAATCTATTTTAGCTAATTTCGCTACAGTCGCTGTCATAAATATCAGAGTAGATTAAAACGGACTAGCAGGCCGTTCTATGTATATGCATACCTCGTCGGATCCGTAATATACACACATACATATATACATACATATATGACGTGTATCAGAATCGCTTTGTTTGACTTTTCAGCAAAGAGATGAAGAGGATGCTGGAGCTGTTTGAGAGCGCGATGAATCTGTGAAGCGGCTAAGAAAGTCGCCATGCATCTCGATCGCGATGAATCATCCTGTCGCGGGCACTTTCGCTATTCTTCATGGAAGATGCAGTCGCACATTGTCATCCGTTAATTTATGGCACAAGTGAGAGCAAGCAAAACGGCGAAGTATTGCGTTCTCAATCCGTTGATGTATCACGACAAATAGAATAATGCGACGTTCACGTTCCCGGGACTCGTCAAGTGCGTGTGTTCTGTGTATACGTTTGCACAACGAAGATGCGCTCGACTGTTAATTCACAGTGGATTCTTATCGGGATAATTAGCATGCAGAGACAAGAAAGTGCGGGATACACAAGTGTAAAGTACAATAACTTTAACAGGTAACTGCACAGATTTAATAACAATTGTATCGTATATAGTGACGCCGACTGTTGCGGGATAGTCGCCGGCATTTTACATAGTGTCATTGTTGGCTCAATTGTGTTTTAATTTATGTACACATCGTGCAATGTTATCAGCTTCCGCAATTACCTCCCCGTGCATTGTATATACGCAGGAGCTATAAACGTTAAATAAAAAAGCCCAATGAATACGACAGAGTCTCTGTTACGTCGTACCCCATTTGAATGAAACGGGGAAAAAAAGAATGCGTTTTCCGCGTGTTAATCTTTATTCATACGCTTCGACGCGCGTAAATCTGCGACCTGGATGAAAACAGAGCTTGTAACCCCCTATAAAAAGAGAAAAACGGAGAGAGAGAGAGAGAGAGAGAGAGAGAAAGGGTGGGGGGAGCAAAAACGAATAAAAAAAACAAACAGGCGACACTTTTACAGCACGCGCAACGTCGGTGGCGAGGAGAACGCGTCGGCGAGCAGTGGCGCGCGCGGCGAGAAGAGGGGGAAATTTGACGGGACGCGAGAGAGGACGGTGGTGAAACGAGGGTGGAAAATGGCTCGGAAGGGTAGCGGCGACGTCTACTTTGTAACCGTAGACCGATACAGTCGGTGGAAGCGGCCGGATATCATATTCCAGGATGTACATTAGAGGCGCTGAGCTACCATCGCGGCCCGTCCCCGTATCCCATCGTCGTCGGGCAACTAAATACAATAACGGGATAGATGACTCGGATGTTGGCGCCGGGGGTTAACGGCTTTCGCGACGGCGGACCACTTTTCAGTCGCCTTTTCGCCCCCAAAGCGGCAGTATGAGGTAGAGGGGAGGAGGTGGCAGTGGAGGAGGAAGAAGAGGAAGAGGGAGGACAGGCAGGTCGCTCGTTGCTCTCCCCCCTTCCCCCCTCCTCCTCCTCTCTCTCTCTCTCTTTCTCTCGCTCGCTCTGCCCCTTTTTGCGCGCCGCGAGGATCTCTCCGTTCGTTCCGACGTGGCCTCGCACAAAAGATGGTATCAACGATATCGCGCCGCGTCGGGGCACTACGAGTGCCGCTTGATAAATGGAAATTCTGAATGGGCCCATTAATCGTGACTGCGAGCTGAAAAATTAACGAGCCGCTTCTCTTATCGGCGAGTAACGCGTTTATTAAGGGAAGGGCAATCGGCGACTGCACGATGTTCGCGAACCGCGTATCCCGAGTCTCGACGGTTTCCCCCCCGTGGAACTCGCGTTTTCCCTTAATTATTACCGCAATGCTGTTCCTTTAATTAATCACCTTATTATACAATTTCGTCGTTCGTTTTCATAAATGCATCCTATACGCTATTATACTCTTAGGCTCGGCGGTTTTCCCCCTTTTCGCTCTCTGACTTGATCCTCGCCTCGTTCGATTGTTAATTTCCTTAATCACACGCCGTAACAATGTCGCGCGGACTTCTCATTACTGTATTCGCATCCATTGCGGTTGTGCTCATCCGGTATTACCGTCGACACACCACGCTACTCCGTACCAATGTAATCTGCGGATATAATCCGAATTCAATGCGTTTCGCTCGTGTCTCGTTCGCTCGCGCTTATTGTGAGTCACTTCCAGCCGCCCATTGTGCACTCATCGCGAGCACATTTCTCTTAATTTCTTCATTACCGTTTCTCCTCGCCGGCACGACGAGCTTTTCTTTTTCTCCGAAGCACGCGCCGCACCGACCTTTCACGTTTTCCCGCGACCCCGATGCAGATGTGTGTGTGTGTGTGTGTATGCATGTGTGTATCTGCGTACCGTTTGAAAATTTCGCATTTATCTATTCCCGACACGGCGGCGCACAATGTCAGCGGCAACGAGTAACTGGTTTCACGTCCCCCTCTACCCTCCCACCCATCTGTGCCCATTGTGGACCCGGGCTGTAAATAATGCCGGGCAAAAAGCCCCGGCAGCGCGTCGCGACGCGCGCCTCATTTAACGCATTCGTCCGGCGGTAATTATTAAAGCCACGATGATTTTAATCCCGGCCGGCCGGTGGGTGAGAGGGAGGGAGGGACGGAGAAAAAAGGAGCGCTCTCGCGCGGCCGGCGCGATGGCGGACAAACACCTCGTTAATTTATTTCCCCTGACTCGACGGCCATTGAGAACACGTGCATACTCCGGTGCAGCGTGCTCCGGAGGAGGCTGTCGAGGTGTAATGTACGCTACACCGGCATCGTGGGACACGGCGCAATTTACATTGAGGCCTTACATAAAAGCCTCGCATAAAAGCGTATAAAGGGATTATTTGTACACGCAGAATCTTAGCTCGTCGCTGCTGGCGCATGGAATTCTGGCTTCGTCCGGCCGCATTAATTTCATAGTTCCGGCCGGAGCTTTTAATTACGCTCGGTGTCCCACGAACTGCCGAATAACGGGACGAAACGACGCGTTAACGAACAATCGCACGGCGATCCGATTGTGTCGCTCGATGTGCACCGGAAGAACCGCGGTATAGTCGCTCAGCCTGTGAGCTGATTCCGTCAATGTACCGAAACGAGAATGCCTCTGTAAACGCGGAGAATCATGTAGCTGGTTGTGTTTAATTTTTCGAACGCGGTGCTGAGAAGCGAAATGTTGATTCACGGAGTGAATCATGAGGCGTGATAGATCGGCCGACCACTCGAGTATCTCTACAAACGCGCGGTGTGAATGCGAGTTTGTGAGAAGCCGGGTAGCTTTTGCTGAAGTAGCCGTTGGCGAGTGTGTCCACACGCAGCGTTCTTCCTCGCTTCTCTCTCTCTCTCTCTCTCTCTTTGCTCTGCTCTGCTCCGCTCCGCTCTGCTCTGCGCAAAGTGGTGCTGGCGTTTGCTCGTCGGTCGCCGCTCGTAAAGGGAAGAGGGAAAGGAAGGGAAAAAGATGAGCATAATGACTAAATAAAAGATGGAGCGGCCAGATAGCCGGCTGCGTTTGTAGCCGGCCGCGACATTGTGCATGTCGGTCGACCTGGCAAAGTCCGTGCAAAGTTCATTTCACGCTTCGCCGTCGCATGGTCAGCTGATGAAATCGTCAGCAGAACGATCTTACTCTTGATTTCTGCGTATGCAAGAAATCTTATCGCTGTACCGCTGTAGTGAATGTCTTCGCGTGCGCCCTTCTTATCTTGTACAAACTTATCTATCTGTCTGTCTGTCTGTACACGCGTTTCCTCACGATGTCACAAGGATCTATTTATAGCGCGGGTTGAGAGACCTAAGCCGAACGAAACGGACAAAAACGCGCATCGTCAGGACGTGTGATAGGAACGTGCGTATTTCGTTATCAAAGCGGAAACGAAGCCGCACGAGTTTGATCCGTCGTCCCGGCTTCGATCACAAAGTTACTCGTTTCGTCTCTTTGATCATTCACCGTTGCAGCCGAGACTTTCTTACACGTAGTAAATTACTCAGAGACGCGGGATGTAAGTATCCTCCTAAGGGAGATCGCTTCTATATCGCCTGGATCTCTCTGGAAGAACGCGCGACGAAGGGGACGAGGAGGAGGAAGAGGAGGAGGAGGAGGAAGGACAGGAGACGACGTCGGGCCTCGCGTTGGGAAGAAAAAGGCCTACGAGGGGAAACGAAATGAATAGAGGAACGCGATAATCGTAGAGCGAGCGTCGAGTGCATCTCGGTACGTGTTCATTAATTAGCGCTCATGTGGCGTGAAGTTTTACGCCACTGTGAGCTTTGAGCGCTCGTTCGGTTAGTTCCGAGATGATAATTGAGATACGCGGTGATTAGCTGTCTTTTAATGAAGCTGTGCATTTTCATGTATTTTAGAGGTTAAAACTACCTCTCGAGAGTATACACGCGCAAGAGAATGCTTTGAAAGGATTTCAAAGTTTCAAGCCGACCAATCACGACCACGCTCGTTGTCTCGAGCGTCGATGTTCGAGAATCTCAATCGCGGCAAACTTCAATTCGCTGAGGCGCCGTTACGTAGGTTAGCTGCGTCCGAAAGACCGTCCCATACTTGTTGCGATTTTGATCAGGTGAGTTTTGCACGTAAACCATCGACGGGAGTGTCGGAAAGTTTCGCGCGTGTGTAGTGATGAGAGACTTCGCGAAACAGCCGCCGAAGATGGATATCTCGCGAAACGGTCAGCCGAGAGCAAGATGTCGCGCGTTCGTTACGTTATGGCGGCTTCGAGTTCGCCGCGCACCGTAGCTCTCCATTACTGAGGAATTCGCGAGCGCGAATTATCATCACCGAGAGCGCCGAAAGTAAATTCGCGGGGTGTCGCGTTGTCGTCGTTCGTGCGGGAGTCGAGTCTGCAGAGACGCCGAGCGGATAAGAAACGAGATAGAACGGGCGACGAACGGGATGAAGAAAGAAAGAGGTTAACAGAGAGAAGGAGCGAGAGAGAGAGAGAGAGAGAGAGAGGGAAAGAGTAAGAGTGAAAGAGAGAGCGCAAAGAGGAAAGAGAGAGGAAACATCGCTCGACGGATCACAGACTGCTAATTAAAAAAGTCGGCATCGCAACGCCCTTGCTCTCTCTCGCGCGAAACGGGCCTCTCTCCCTTTCCGCGACGCAACCGTCGCGTAAGAAACCTTTCGCCTTCCTTTTCATTTCCCCATCGGCCTACCGCGCCCCCTTGCGTTGCAACCCTCTTCCGACTGCATACTTCCTCTCTCATCCAATAGCCAATGAGTTACGCGGCCGGTTCTCTGTCTTTTTTCCCGCAAGAACTTTGTACGAGGACTCTCTCTCTCTCTCTCTCTCTCTATATATATATATATATATAGATATAGATATAGATATAGATATATATATATATCCTTTCGCGTTCGCTGAGCAAAAATATACGCCTCATACCGAGGGATCTCGTGGCGAGGATCCCTGCGTATGATGCGTTATCCTTTTCACAGCTTCCACCCTTGGAAGAGAGGAGAAGAGAGCAAAAAAGAGGATTCCCTTTAGCGTCGCTCGGGCGGATCCTCTTTGAAGGGAAATCCCTTAAGCCGATTACTAATAAAAGTTGCGCATCATTTTGCGCGCGGTATCTTAACGTCGATCTCGGCTTCCGGGTATGTATGTTACGGATCGAATTTTGCGAGACGTCGTTGCCGCGCAGCGCGTTAATGAGTGAGAATACTTCGCTCGTTATCTCTCGGCAAATTCGGCGGTAGAGAAGTCGAAAGTGAGACGAGTGGCGTTGATGCGCTTTTGACGCTGCCTCCTTCGCGGTACGGAATTAACGTATTCGCGGTGAGACCGACCTGACGACTTACTTGCAATTAAATGCCTGAGAAGAACTCTTCTCGCGAGATAAACTTCAGGTTAGATCCGCTTTAATGTAACGTGTTATTTACTTCGGAATTGGACGGAAGTATATTTTCCCTTGTGTTATTTCGAAATGTATTTTCTCGTCTAATGTCGTCAGGGCAAAATAATTCATTGTTTTATTTGGGATTACAAGGTGAAATTATACTATTGCCTGTGTCGTTGAAAGTACGATTTAATATCGAAAATTGCGGCAAATTTGTACTCCCCGTACAATACGTATTTTACATCTCTGATAGAGCGATAACAAGGTACTATAAATCTTGAGAGAGGCATGCACAAAGTACGCAGTGGACGAAGTTCAAGGAACGAACCTTCAAGAACCAATTAAATCGTTATTCGTAAATTAAGTTTGGTAATTATGAGTGGGCTTCGAGAGCGACGCGAGACGTGGAAGGGTTGGTAGTAGAGCCGGGGATTGCAACCGACGTAGCTCGAACTTCGCAACTTTTCAGTCGCTTTTTGTGCAACTTTTCTTGTTAAGATCGCGATTATAAATTTTTGGCCCGAAGCCAAGTATTTCCAACGCGGTTATATACGTAGTAGTTGGTATACGCCTACGCGTAGAATAAGAAAAAATACAAGTTATCGTATATGTGCATCGGATCGAATCACTTTTATTTATTTGCACGAAAAATTCTCCACATATAAAAATATATCCACGTGATGCGTGTGCATGCAATAACAATTAATTTTTAGAGGAACAGAAATCACCATATCACACGTTGCAACACCGGCATGCAATAGATACGTAAACGCATTCGAGGAAGGAACAAACTTGCCACACGCGTTTAAGGAAGAGAGAGAGAGAGAGAGAGAGAGGAGTGGGAAAGAAAGAGACAGGTAAACAGTGGTCAAGCTGGGTGCAGGGTGCATTGTGCAGACTGGCAGTCGAGCGAGCAGAAGTCCGCGGTCCCTCGCATTTTCCTCCTTTCTCTCGTCCCTCGTCCTTCGCGTTCACCTCTCGCCTCCTCCGCTAGCCTCTCATCTCTCTATCGCTCTCGGCGATTCGCGGATCCTCCGTCCTTTCGGTCCTTTCTTCCATACGTCGACTTTGCCGTCTCGCCGCAACCACCGCGTTCGCCGCCACGTTTCCACCGCACCTTTTTTAACCCGCGACGCGCCCGTCCGGCTCCTTTTCCACGGCGTGGCGCATTTCCCGCGGCTTTTCCACGTTGAAAACGCCACGACGGAAGCTCCGTCAGATAGAAAACCACATGTTGCGGTTTTTCATAGCGTGCGGTCCCTCTCTCTCTCTCTCTCTCTCTCTCTCTCTCTCATTCCCTTTCTTTCATTCTTACCCACTCCCTCTCTCGCTCTCTCTCTCTCGCGGTGCGAGATCTTTGGCACCTTGGTAAAACCTAATGGAATTTTTTATTTCTCCGGCTACGAGTTGGGCGGATCTACTGAGAATCCGACAAGTCTTCGGCGCGCCACTGCCCGCCGCGTAGCTCGATCTCACTGCCGCGCTTTTTACCGCTGCTATCGTCGTCGACGACGACGGGTTCTTTGCCCGATTATTTTCGCATTTAATTTTCGCGAGGCCACCGCGGGTGATTTTGTTTTCCACTGACTCGATCGCGAACAGTAACTGGTTTATCGTTTATTCGATTCGGGCGCACGCGCTCTCGCCGACATCCATATGCATATAAAAAATTTGTTTGCACTCGCGTGAATGAAATTGTTATTCCGTTGAGAGGATACCGATCCTTTTGTTCCGGTACGAGCGCGTTTGACAAAACTAATAGATCGTTACATCATTCTTTCCGATCGTTGCGAGGCCGAGGGATACAGTAATAGCGCAGCGCACTGTGGCGCATCGAAATTTGCTATAAGCCCGAGCAATCGTCGCGCAGCAACAAGCGTGCAGCATAGGACGCAGTATTTAAATGCTTTCTCCTTTCCTCTCTTTTCTTCTCTAACAGCTAACATCCTCCCTCGCCCCCACCGATCCCACCGTCTTGTTTCCTCCAACGGAAGGTAGCTCTCTCTCTCTCTCTCTCTCTCTCTCTTTTCTCTCTCTCTCTCTCTCTCTCTCAGTGCATGTCTTTTTCTCTGTCGGATCTACGCCTATTCCGATTTCGGTGCATTGTTTACTCTCTTTCTCCTTCGCGCCGCGCTTGGACGGTCACCTCTCACGCTCCATTGCTCTTTCTCGCTCGAGCCTCGCGCGCGTTCATCCTTGTTGTCCTTACGGCCCTGTCTCTCACTCCCTCCTCCAACCTCTTACTCTATCTCTGTTTCGCTTCCCCTCCCTACTCCCTCTATCATGTCGCCGCGCCTTCGGTCCTTGTTGGCTGCGCAGGTGGGGAGTCGCGCTCTCTCTCTCGCACTCGTTCGCGCGGCCGAGCACGCTCCACACTTGCGACTCGACCGGCGCTCATTTCAGTCGACGCTGAGACGTCGCGCGCGCGCGTTGTTTCAAATTTTTCCGCGCTTTCGGAGGTGCGCTGTCGCGCCGCGCGTCCTTTGCGTCTCGTTCACTCGCGTATACACGGCGTTACCACGGTGCGATCGCGCGAGAGTACGTCGCACGGCGGGCGCGAGAAACTCGTGTGAGAATATCGCGACGACATGGCAGATCCACGGGGTGATGATCCGGCACGCGTCGCGTGAGTGCATTGCTCTCGATCCGGCCGATCGGCGAACAAGTGAGACGATAGTGACGAGTGTCGCGCGTTCTACTCGTCGTTCGGGTTCGTTAGTTGGATTATTGTTGATTGTTCCGGCTTGATCTACCGCGACCTTCGCTGCGCATCATCCCACCGCACGGATACCGGAGGTCGTCAGGCGTCGGAGCAGCTGCCGGAGCAACCGCTGAAGCAGCTTCTGGAGCAGTCGCCGGAGCAGCCACGACATGGACTTCGTAATATTGAAGGTAGGATCTATAATAACCTTTCTTTTTCGCTCGTGCGCCCGCCGGTTGGATTTACCGACTGGAGTACGCCAACTTTGGCTTGTAGTCGCGCGGAAGGAATTTGCTCGTTCTTTTTTCTGTTGTTTTCTTTTGTATTATCACGGCGATATCACACATGCGATATTAGCTTTTAAATACTCGTACGGTAAAAGATTTTGTTAAGTACAGACAAATATTACAGACGACGTCAGACGTCTTGCCCTCAAATTGAGATCGTATCATACAACATCTTCTGAATCAGACGGATCGAAACGGAATTTTATTCGTGAAAAATTTTTGTTGACTTGATTCAAACAATTTGACCGTCACCTTTGCGATCAGTTCTATTTACATTCGCGGTACATATGAATAATGCAATAAGCAGGAAGCAGATTCCTTTCCTCGATAACAAACAATTATATCGCTTTCAAAAGCGCAGTGATCGACACTATTGGCGTCTTCTTGGCAATTTAAACGTGTAATATCTTTTCTTTCTCAATTTGTAAGAAATGTACACAAACTCGAAAGTGACGTACGTTCTTCGTTACTTTTGTTTACCAACACTCTAACGTTTAAGTCGCCTGCTCTTTTTCCGTGACCTTGCGAGCGAACTTGCTTTTCGGTCGAGTCATTTCTGCAGGAAAAAGACACACCGACTAAAATATCTCACTCGTTACTTTTCTTCGCTAATAATGCGCTAATAAGTCGCGAAATTGAAGTCGGCCAGTTTTACGATGGAGTTTCGCGAGGAAACATTCATTCCGCTTGTACTGTCGCCGCGATCTTTTAACGAGTGGAGGCGAGACGAGAGTGAACTTTCTTACGAAGGGCAACGCGTTGTATTCTCGAGTATTCATCGCGCCAAACGTGCCTTATCCGGGTCCATATCGTTGGCTCTTGAGACGAGAAGTCATGCACTCTCGGCGTGTGTAGGAAGTTACGAACACATTGCGCGAACAAAAACGAGTAATCGTCTCGTTAACTCATTTGTTTATCTCGCCTTGCAACTCGATATCGGCCTCGGAGCTCGATTGCTATCAACGTTATTCACCATCGGCATTATTTATTCGTATAATTTTTCTCATGCTGCTCGCTGAATTTGCCAAAGTATATACGTTGCTGTCCGAACTGTCCTATATTACTTTTTTTCTCTCCTTGCAAAGTTTTAGAAACTTTTTCCGAGCTGAATCTTCAGAAGTATCTCTGAAGAATCTCTCTGAAGAATCTCTCGAGTCTCACGTTTTCCACCGACTTGAAAACTTGATTCGATCTGGTAATTCGCGCGATTTTCGTGATTAATGCGCACGAAGGAGGGGAACGAACGAACGAGTGGAGTGTTACATCGAAGTCGCATTAGGCCGTAGCAAGCTAATAATGCCGTTTGGCCGTGTAACGGTCGGCCAGACGTCGCACAGACAAGAACGAAATCGATTAAGCGGCTGATCACATCCATTTCCGCATTCTCCGTCGTGTCGCGATTTGAATAACGGTCATTTCGGTGACAATGTCTATTCGGCGAAATTACATTTTACGTTGCGCGCACGGCCAAGCCTCAAAGTCCCCGGCAGAGTTGGTGCGCGAGCCGTCGCGAACGCATTACGATGCATTTACATCGAGTAATAATACACATGACGTTTATAGACTCGCGGTCCAGACGTAAATACCGCGCCATTAAGCGACTCGCTGCCATTGGTGCGCCGAATAAGCTCGGAAAGCGCGCCGATATAAAATGAATATTTGTATAACGTATTGCACAAATAGCGGAGCCGAGTGCGATGGCGGTGTCGCAGCGAGTTATCGGAGATCCAATGTGTGCCCGCGAAATTCGTCGGAAAAGAACTTATTTGCTTGTCGCGCGTGCCAGTAATTGACACAGTCCGCGGGCAGAGACATATTTCGCGATACGGTCGCGCCGATGCAATTTACGTGCCCGCGATGAAAGAGACGTCGCGCAGAGGATTTTATCTCGTCGATGTAGCGAATCGCGCGGAGAGCGAGTGTTTTCAGCCGGAGAAATTCACTATTGGAAAGATATCATTCTCTTTTTCTTTCGCTCCTTTTCTTTTTTTCCGCTTTTATTTTCCGCTGTGCGGACGACAAATCGCGTGTGTACGCATTTCCGAAGCGAACAATCTTGCGCTACGAGTCCGGAAGGATTCGTCGGACGGCACAAACGACGTATCCGCGGGAATTTTTTTCTTTCCGACTCCTCTGTGAATCTCGTCGAATGCAGACCTGACCCGGATCTTCGCGTTTATTTATTCGTCTTTTTTCTCGCCTTTGCGTAAAAAGGAACTAAGGTGATCCAGATACGACGCGGCGCGGCGCGGGCGGGGTTGCTCGGAAGGGTTAAAGGTTCGAAACATGCGATCTTTCGCATCGATGCGCGCCGAAAGCGGGCGTTTCCAGTCGATACGAACGAAGGAAACCCGCCGAGAACGGGCGGCGGGTGCCCAAACGATTTTACCATGCGTCACGTTTAAGCGTTTTGCGCTGGATTAAGAGGTCAGATCGCACTTTTGTCTATCGTTTTGCCCCTTCTCTCTCTCTCTCTTTCTCTCTCTCTCTCTCCCTTTATTTTTCTTTCGTTAAATCTCTCAGGCACACCCGCACGCTGTGCAATTATTGCCGAACGGCAACGCGCGCGCGCGCGCGACGCTCCAGTTATCGTCGTGTGTCCGCACGGCATCGGAATTTCGCCATGGTGAACATCTGCATTTTTGCGTGGTGCACATACCGTCCGCCTTTTCGTTGCCGCCCGCCGCTAATGTGTATTTCATGGAGATAAAGCTGGTCCGGTCAGTTTCGGTGTGACGCTCCATAATTTTTTCTCCTGCTCGCCCGCCCTCCCCGACGTGCAATCTGCGAATAGAATATTTCTGGCATGCGAGCTCGGAATGGCGGAAAATTGTGTTAAATCCGGCTAAAAATGTCGATAGACAGTTCGAACATTTTTTCCGGGGGCGAAATTTATCCTTTTATGTTTGATCATTCTCGATGTGTGCGCACACACACACACACACACACGCGCGCGCGCGTGCGTTTTTCTCTGCGAACGCTAAATGAAAAGGACACAATTATTTTCACGTCCTGGGTCAATTCTTACGTTACAGCGACCATTTGATACATTGCCATTCCAACTTTGTCGGGGCTCATAAAAAGATAAATAAGAGAAATACACAGATAGAATTGCATCCCGAATTCTGTCGCGTGTTATAAAAGTCGTGCAAGTTGAACTGTTGAGTATATTTATCAATCGAGCACCGTGATACTTTTGTAATTTTTTCACGTGTCGTCAAAGGGAACGCTAAAATATTCGGTTTTTCGGGGACAACATTCCGCGCGACTCTCGGCACACGAATGAGACACGAACGATCACGTGCGCGGCGAGGGTCCTGCAGCGGGATACATAATTGATCGCGAAGGTCAGCGCGAAGTGGCGAATGGAAACACGTAATTTCCGTTCGGTTCGAAGTAGAAAGTTACGACCGTCTGATGGAGTCGCGACGTTTTCTTCCTGTCTCGCCAAGATTCGCCAGTCGCGCAACGATGGAGTTTCCAAAGCGAGCTGTGCTCAATGTGCGCCGCGATCGCAAATACTGGCAATGGCGCGGCGTCCACCGGTCGAGTGCATTTGCCTCGTAAGTACGTCGGCATCATTATGGCTCTCAACCCACGCTTATCATTCCGAGAAGCCAGGTGTACGATAAACAATGATAAACGGGTTTCCATGGAGCTGCCGTGGTTTACCGCGTATCAAGCCATTCGTCACAAAGCGAGATATGGAGAGCGCTTTTTACGGGAATATCTTTCCGCTTGTTTACCCGAGTCGAAATTTAGAATCTATTATATGTAGATCTCAAAAGTGATGATTTGTGTCTCCGTAAGTTCATCAGACTGCAAGTCCCGTATTGGACATCGCTCTTTTCCGTTTTTCCCTATTTATGTTCAGCTTTGTTTTATTATACAAATTTAAAATATAAATTTCAATCTTCGCACGTTGTTGATTTTGGAGATGTGATTGTTATTGCAGCTTCTACGAATGTTTTTCATTTCACTCTTTTTATGAGTTTTTAAATCCCATCGAAATCTTTACCGCCAGTAAAAGATAAAATATACCGATTATGAAGAAGAAAGTTTGTGACCTCATTATGTATTCATTCATTCATTAATCTCTGCTTCAGCATGGAGATAATTGCAATAAATAATTATTTATAGCATGAAAGATGGGCGATAACTTGTTTCAAAAATTTCGATTCGGGTATTCTGGTCTTGTGAATAGAAAGTTCCTCTTCGGACTTAATCAAAAGCACAATTTACGTGTACGCGTGTACGTGTATTTTTTAAAGTTAATTGAAATTATCAAAATTTGCATTTACCACGAAAATACTCATATTATAAGAGATAATTAATTATCGCTTTAAAATAGTTTGTGTGTGCGTACAAAATGAAGATATAAATAATATAACATTAATATATAATATCAATATACTGTTTTCATGATGTATATTTTAAATTTTATCCTGTCTTCATATTTTCTATTTCATATTTTATATTTTATACTATATATTTCTCTCTCATGTGTGCGTGTTTCTGTGCGAGATATCTAATATCTCTTACGATATTAATATTAAATGAAAACATATATATGATATGCAGCACTGACTTATATTATAATATGCAAAAGGATTTATATGACATTAGAATTGATTTATATAATCGTACTTGTATAGGATTATTTGGGTATTATTCACCGGGAGGGAAAGTCAACGTTGTTTGAAACAGTGTCGGCTTCATTGTAGCTAATATGGATACAGATAAGACATGAGTACAGAAATTAAGACATCACGCGTGTGCGTACGGTTCGCGGTAATTTTCATAATTCACTGAAACGGACAATTTGCGAGGGCGCGATAGCGCGCGACAGCGACAAAAGATTCATGCATGACGGAAACCTCTCGCGCGCCGGATATATAGTCCGT